AGTTATGGTTTAAACATAAAAGTTGTGTATAAAAGTAACGTACGCACCAAAACTCAGCGCATCAAGTTTTGAAACTTTGAAATTACCTAGAAATCTGCATTACGTCTGCTACTATTTAACAAATAATTCACTTTCCATTAACGAAAATTATTTACGAAAATTATAAACAAATTCAATACTTACAATCTGATGAAAAAATCGTTGTCCTAGGACATTTCGTTCGCACGTTAGACACCTAAAAACACCAACAAGCTGTATATCGAAGCACAAAAACTATCTTTTTGCAGGTTTCTCGTGTGCTAATCACACAAATTATAAATGTAAATGATATACAAATTCAATACTTACAATCAGATAAAAGAATCGTTGTCCTAGGACATTTCGTTAGTCCACTAGACACCTAAAACTACCAAAAATCAGTACATCAAAGCACAAAAATGATCTTTTTGCAGGTTTCCCTTATGCTAATCACACAAATTATAAATGTATATGATATACAAATTCAATACTTACAATCTGATAAAAGAATCGTTGTCCTAGGACATTTCGTTCGCACGTTAGACACCTAAAACTACCAAAAATCAGTACGTCGCAGCACAAAAATTATCTTTTTGCAGGTTTCAAGTGTGCTAATCATACAAATTATAAATGTAAATGATATACAAATTCAATACTTACAATCAGATGAAAAAATGGTTGTCCTAGGACATTTCGTTAGCCCACTATACACCTAAAACTACCAAAAATCATTACATCGAGGCACAAAAATTATCTTTTTGCAGGTTTCCCGTATGCTAATCAGACAAATTATAAATGTATATGATATACAAATTCAATAATTACAATCTGATAAAAGAATCGTCCTAGGACATTTCGTTCGCCCGCTAAACACCTAAAACTGCCAAAAATCAGTACATCAAAGCACAAAAATTATCTTTTTGCAGGTTTCCCGTAAGCTAATCACACAAATTATAAAAATATATGATATACAAATTCAGTACTTACAATCTGATAACAGAATCGTTGTCCTAGGACATTTCGTTCGCCCGTTAGACACCTAAAACTACCAATAATCAGTACGTCGCAGCACAGCAAAGATAATTTATCTTTTTGCAGGTTTCAAGTGTGCTAATCATACAAATTATAATCATATCAAAAATTATGAAATTATATTATAAAAATTTATCGACAGACTTCAAATGCGTTGCAATTAGAATTGCGTTCCTTAAGACGCCTTCGAGAGCGTTAACAGTTATAAATAGTAATTTTACTTAGATAACATAAAGGACTCAAAGAAAAAGAAAATGAGGAAGATCTGTACCAAAAAAATTCCAACAATTTCACCCTTCAAGTAAAAAACTGCACCACCAAATTTTCGAATTTACCTATGTTGCAGACACAACTTCTGCAACAAACTAATACAACCCCATGGAGAATTTAATTTGACTTTACTAGAACTAGGAAATAATTTTACAGGACTGAATCATTTTAAAACAATATTATCTGCGATTTAATGTGTCAGATTATAATCCATGTTTTTCTCTTCAAAACTTGCAGTAACATGTTTATTTTGATATACATTCTTAAGTTTCTAAATGACAACGTAATATTTGAACTGGCGAATAGTAATTGAAAATAGTACGTTTAATATCTTTATCATCACTTATTCTTGAATGATTGCATTTCTTTTGTTTTATAGGAACCTTTTAAAACAAGGCTGCCAATGGATTTTCCTGGAGGGCAAAATCTTTTAGATAGAGCGGCACCGGGGACTATGGCCATTCATACATAAAATATTATACACATACAAAAGTTCCAACTTTGGTTTTGCGGCAGGCAAATTCAAATGTCCTGGCGGGCCACATCGTGGCCCGCGGGCCTGGATTGGCCAGCCATGTTTTAAAACAATAAAATAAGTTTTCGCCAAATCCATAGCGATCCAGCGACTTCGTCGAAGTTTCAAGACATTGCATATAAATATAATATTGCATATAAATTGAGTTTAATTAAATATTTTAGGAATTTTATACGAATAACGCCTACTTTACTCTTGAACGTCAACAAAACTATCAACTGATGACCAAATCAATGCCAATACAATATATTGCTCCGTATTTTCGCCGAAACTCTGTACTTTTACCATCATTTAATAAATTGATTGGTAAATGTCTCAATACTGGACTTATAAAATATTGGGGGTTTTCAGGTATTTCAAATTGATTTTAGGTAGTCTGCATCGCTAATGATACCTTACGACAGCATTACTTAAAACAAAACGATGACACTGGACGATTTAGACTATTAAACGTTGCACATATAGCAGGCATATTAGTGATATGATTTTGGGAATTATGTCTAGCGTCTATCGTGTTTTTTATACGAGTTAGTTAAAAAGTGGATTAAACGATTAGTGACAAATGTGGGCGAGGTGCAATATAAATTCCAAAATAACAGCTCATTTTACTAATATTATTGACACTACTAAAATAACTTCAAAACTAATTTCGTCAACATAAAGCCAACTAAAGATAGACCACAAGTACATTAATATTTTTCGTCAAATATTTGTCAATCGATTAACACATGACAATATTTCTCTAGATTAGTCTAATATTGAATCCCTACAAGTAGAAGCGGTGTTTATAACGTTCAAGTGCAATGTCAACCAAGGAAAATTTAGTATTGTTAGTAAATTTAATAATTAATCAATATTTTAACTCAGAATGTGTACTGCAATTATCTAATAAAGATTTTCTTTACTTGAATTCCACCATGAATATGTTGGTATCAAGTGATAAGATATTTAATAAATCAGGTCGTAATCATTATGACCAATGCAAAGATTTTTTTATATATAAAAGCCACAATCCAAGGCAAAGCTTGGAAAATATTGAAAGATTTATTCGTATGGACACAAACAAATTGTATTCGTATAGAAAATATATAATTTTTATAAATAAAAAAGATAGTATCGAGTTTAATGAGTTATTTGAAAGTTCTGCATTGAAATTTATCACAAACTTATTAGTTATTACCAAAGAAACTAATAAAAGCAAACAATTTAGTCTCTTTACGCATAAATACATTGGAAAGACAAATAATAATGAGGTAATGTTGTTAGACACATGGAATATTAATAATAATAGCTTTACAAACGGAAATAATTTGTTTCCTGATAAAATTGACAATCAACATGGACGCGTGATTAGTGTTACCGCTGGATCTTTTATTCCACATTCATATATAGGTAAAGTATAATATAAATTTAAGAACACACAATATCATTGTTAATTCTCTGCAGAAAATCAAATTTTGATCGAATATGCAAACACACACAACGCAACTTTATCATTCGATAGATCCAAGCAGCATTTAGGAGAAATATATCCGAATTGGACTGGTGGCGGAATTTTACAAGCATTTATTGAAGATCGGGCTGATTTAGTATCTTGTAAATTGAATATAAACCAATTCTTGGCTTATATATTTAAAAAATTAATTTTTAGTTGGTTTATATACGCATAGAAGATGGATGTTTGGTGATCTCGCGGATTCGATATCAAGTTCACAACCCACATGTTTAGTACCAAAACCAACGTAAACATAAATACTTTAAAGAGGAGGTTTTTAAAGATGATTAATAATAATAATTAATATGATTTGCAGGAAACGAGATAGATGGATGATTATCCATTTGTTTCACATAACAACATGGTTAATAACATTAACAGTTTATGTGGTGCTATTTTCCGTGAATTATTTATTTAATAAGTATGGCTTTTATTATTAGATTAGTAAAAACAATTCTAAGTACATTTTAGTTTTGTAGAAAAACCAAAGAAAACCAAGAAACATATGAATTATCTAACAATACTGCGTACGGCATTTGCTCAACCAAATAAATTCACCAGAAAAAATCATTCCAAAGCAATCATGTCGCCAATATTAATTGGAGTATTTCTAATTCACAACTTTTTTACTTCTAAACTTGCGGTAAAATTAATAAAACCAACGTGAGTGACAAAACCATCAGTAATGATTCAATAAAATATTAGTTTTTTGTTTTTATATAGTTATGAAAATAACATCGAAACATTAAAACAACTAGCAAAAAGTGAGCTGAAGTGGTACTCAGAATATGACGGAGTAGCTGAATATTACGAGCATGAAAAAAATGTAAGAAAATATAAAGGTTTTACGTTATTGAGTACTTTACAACTCCTAGGTTTTTTAGGAACCATATGCAACACTCTATCAAAACTTTCGAATAATTTTAGCTGATCAAATTGATACAATTGAAGACGAACAATTTGCTTATGTTGTGGATGTTTCAAGACACCGTAAATTATATTTATTTCTAGTAATAGTCGTAAAAGTAAAACATTTAATTTTTTACAGGATTTTACTCAATTGAACCGTATTTCACGCTTGAACGCCTGGAAAATTTTAAATTAATGCGTGAGAACTTAATGTTCATCTACACGTCAATACTATTTCGAAGAAACTCCGTGCTTATACCATCGTTTAATAAATTATTGGGAAATGTAATGTCTTACGGTCTGATTAAATTCTGGGAATTTGAAGTATGAACTTTAGAATTGAAAATAAAATGCAATCAATTAATTATTGTATTGATTTATAGGCAATTTACAGTGCAAACGACTCGAAAAGACAATTGTACGTGTTAAAACAGTTTGAAGATGTGGGACGTTTTGCACAATTAGATCTACAAGAACTTAGAGGTGTTTTTATTATGGGGTTTTGTGGAATATGCGTTTCTATGATAGTATTTTTACTGGAATTATTTAAGAAAATATAGAATGCACTTCAGCGACACAATCGACCTTGGACGGATATTCGCGCCAACATTTAGAGTGCGCGCCCATGCACAATAATTGACCATAGGCAACCAAACATTCACATTCGCGGTGTCTGGTGAAATATTTGTATATTCACAAAAGTTAAAACCGAGATTATAATTGGATAAAATACAAAAATCGTTTCTTTATAATTCTGTTCCTCATCAATATATTTATTTATATTTATATAATGGTAACAAAACTTAAATCTTATATTATAAACTAAGCAATCCGCAATTATAAACTTCACAAAGTTAATAATTATACAAATAAATAATTACTATTTACTTATATCTATCTCTAACAATGACATTAAACTCTTTAAACTTTGTAAACGTTTCATACTTTACAATTCATGCCCTTGCCAATGATATGCAGAACTACCATGCGTACACATCAACAACATCTCTTCATGTGTCACATCATCTCGGTACTTTGGCTTGTCACCGCACTCCGACGGCTTTGGTAACTTGCTACTCGATGTTCTCTTAGCAACTAAAATCACTAGATGAAAGTAAAAGTTGTATTGTTGAATTTTAAACTATGCACAGTTTAGTCATGGATATTAATTACGTGTCACTCTTGACATTTAACACACAAAGAAAAAAACTCGTCCTCGCTAATATTTAAATACAGAAAACTGATTGAAATTTTAAACGTAATGCCCCATCATGCAGCGAGGCATGTCGGGCATATTGTGAGTCGGTCGTCGCTGATGCGTTTGAATTTTTGCAAGAGCCGGTGCCGTCTGGACAGACTGTTCGGGAGTGAGGAAAAATGATGGATCTGAAAGAATATTTCCTAAGTACTTTACCTTTGAAGAGTTAGTAAAATGAAAGCTCAATTGTGTGATTGAGATGGGTGCAAAATGGATAAAAACAAAAGTTAAAAACTATAAAAACGCGTTGAAATAAAATAAAACGAACCCGGGTATTTCTATCTCACTCTGCCTTATTAACCTATATCTCTCCCACTCTAAGCACGAACAACGTGCTAATGCAAATAAAAAAATAACCAACGAACGTGCAGTTCCAGAAATGAGTGTGGCATGCTATCTATAACGGGCTGATCTAACGGAGTAATGCTAATTGATTCTTGATGAGATGTTGCACGTTTTCTCAGCGAAATTCGCACAAGACAAGTAAACCTCGAACTGGAATTACCTGCGTCTTCTCGTCGGCATCGCTTGACATTTGCAATGCTATCGATGTCGCAATCATAATTGTTCCGCTTTCTATTCTGCTGTAACCGTTGCGGCTGAGAAGACTGGTATGCAAACGGCGTAGCCTGCGACTCCTGACAATCGTCGATTTCGATAAGATTGTTGTACTGAATCTCCATGCCCATGTTGTTCGTCTCCATTGGCATGTCGGGCTGATTAATCACCTTTGCCGCCGGCATCGGGTGATAACTGCCGCAGTATGCGCTCTCTAAAGCGTTGTTCGTCATGCATCTACCGGTGATGTCGTTCATTGGGTCCTTTAGAATAGGGATGAAATAATTGATTGCATCTTTCATTGCTACTTGGCCTGATTGCGCAGTTTGCTTGAGTGGCGATTGCAAACACTTCTCACTTTATGTTTATTGATGGAAAATACAACGTGCCAAACGCACGCCGCGCGGACCGCTACTGAAGTGTTTGTGTTTGGTTTGGGTCGGTTACAAGGCGCGCAAACGCTTGCGTTTTACCGGCATCCTGTTTGAACAAGGCGCATTCGAATTATCGGTCGGCATAAATAAATTTTGTTTGATTCTTACTTAATCGACGCAATTCAAACATACACCGATGAATTATATTGAAAATTTTCCATTCTATATATAATTTAAATATTGACTACTAACCTTTCGCAATGAGTAACTTTCCTAATCCTTCCACACCGCGTTAGTAAATTTCCACTCGTAAAACACCGTTATATTCGAGTTAAAAATAGATTTGATGCATTCGTTAATTTTACTTTGAGAGGATAGAAAACATAATTGACTTGTTTCTAACGTGTAATCACCGCGTGCAATAAAATAGAAATAAATGAATCAAGTGTGAAATTCGCTTTATGCGCAGTAAAATTGCGCAGCAAAACGGCGTTTATAGACGTTGAAAGTTAGGTTAAACTGTGTTTTGTAGTGTACCTGATATCGGCTGGTACAATTGTCGAAAACATCTAATTTTTGTCTGATAAATCTGCAAAATGGATTTCCAAAACCGCGCCGGTGGTAAAACCGGCGGAGGCGGCGTAGCCTCATGGTCGGAAAGCAACCGAGACCGCCGCGAGCGCCTCCGCCAATTGGCGTTGGAAACAATCGACTTACAAAAGGATCCATATTTTATGAAAAATCATTTGGGATCTTACGAATGCAAACTGTGTCTAACTCTACATAATAACGAAGGAAGTTACTTAGCCCACACCCAAGGCAAGAAACATCAAGCTAATTTAGCACGACGCGCAGCGAAGGAAGCAAAAGATGCACCAACACTGCTTGCACCTGAGAAACCAAGAGTTGAACCCAAAAAGTTCATCAAAATTGGTAGACCCGGCTACAGGGTGACAAAACAACGTGATCCAGAGAACGGACAACAAAGTTTACTCTTCCAGATCGATTATCCAGGTATTAAAAATTAATTTTTATCAATAAAAAACATTAACTTATTACATTCATTTTTTTTGACAGAAATTCAAGACAATGTATACCCGCGACATCGATTCATGTCCGCTTATGAACAGAAGCAAGAACCACCAGACAGAAAATGGCAGTACCTTCTCTTCGCCGCTGAACCGTACGAAACCATCGCGTTCAAAGTGCCAAGTCGCGAAGTCGAAAAAACCGACACCAAATTCTGGACTCATTGGAACAAGGACACCAAACAATTCTTTCTACAATTCGCATTCAAAAACGAATCCCGGAAGCCAGGACCAATTATGGCCAGACCAAACATGATCGGTATTCCGGGCCCACCAATGTTACCAGTTCCACCGCCACCGCGCCCACCGATGTTTAATCCGATGCCGCCACCACCACCTTTAATGGGAGTCATGCCTGTACCACCACCTCCACAATAAATCATTACAATAATAATTAAATCTCTTTTATAATTGCTCCATTATCCAATTGTAATGATATGGCACTGATGTATAAATATCAGGCCATCCAACCGCACACGGCTTACCCCATGACACGACCCCAACTAATTCATCATTTGCATCAATTAATGGTCCACCAGAGTCCCCATTACAAGTGCCGGCACCAATCATCGGTGTGGTACAGATATTTTTATGACGACTCACGTAAAAGCTACTTCTTCGCATTTTATGTTTACAATCGCTACTATTCATCGCAGTTACTTCAACCCATCGCAGAATATTAGACGTTTTACTGTCTCGGGACGTGCGTCCCCAACCACTGGCGATTAACTTCTCGCCGGGAACAATGGGTTTTGATCGTAGACCGATATATCTTACAGTTTTATTAAAAACTAATGCTTTGTCCAACGTAATTAGGGCGATGTCATATCTTAACGTTTTTTTCTCAAAACGAGGATGAACCATATAATCAACAACTTTAAAACCTGTCATTTTTTTTGATTCATTCAGATATTTTAAGCCAACAAATATAGTGAAGCTATTTTTATCACGACCACTAAAGTATTTATAATCAAAACGTTAGATTTACATGCTTTGGATTACTTTAATGTACCTACCTTACACAATGCGCTGCCGTCAGTATGTTTTTTGATGAAATGATTGTTCCGCCACAGGAATGTTGCTTACTTCTATGGATTGATGCTTGATAGGGGAACTCATGGCGATAAATGACTGGGGTGCCGCCAACAATTCGAAACTCTAGCTGATTTGACTGGGTGTCCGCTGAAAATAGAAATTAATTCGACGAATATAAGATGATTACTTAAAATTACATGAATAAGTTGTTGATAAAGCGAAAAGTACGAGATATATGAGTGTACCGAGCATTTTCACTGAATAAAGTGTGATATAAAAGCGGTCGCTGCAAGTATTTATGTATAAACTAGTGCAAACAATGATTTTTTTCCCCTTTTGTTCATGTTCATAAATACCGATTAATAGCTGTGTCCTTTTAGATCGTATTTTAATTCTATTGTTTATTTATGGCACCGAAATTTTAAGTGAGAAAACAACATTTTTATATTAAAATTTTAAATTTAAGTTAAATTGAACATCTAATTGCATTGCCCAACTCAAGAAACGTTGAAATTTTTGAGGTATTGTTTATCTTATCAATATTGTATATGTGTGTTTTAATGCAGCAAGGTTGTTGTGTTATTTTACAAATAAATGCATTAAAGTAAAATTAATTCGTGTATACATGGATTTATTTGATGAGAATGTTTCTCTTACGCATTACTGATTACTCACAGTTCTGCTTAAGCTTTTGTTGTTAATCTATCGGCAAATATGCAGTTTTTATTATGCTAAAGTACACAAGACTTGTTTCTGGAATATGTTGCATGCGCGAGTAACAACTATTGTAACCGTTTTCTGTGAAAAATATTTATAAATTCTTTAACAACGCAAAATGCAAAAATAGATTCGGCGAGAAATTCTAATTTTCAACACGCGAAATTGTGTAAAGTGTTATAAAAGTAATAAAAGCATATACTTGTATTCCATTGTTATCTTCTTCTACCTGCTACGGTAGAAATACGGACACTCCTAAACTAGATTACGGCGAATGTTGTATTTTCGTTTTTTTGTGCATAACATGCGCATTAAAATCATATTTGCGCATGTTTGTTACCGGTCGGTCGGCTCTCTGTTGATAAAATTCCCTAACCTCTAACATTTCTCAAGTGCAGAGCAAGCGCACGTAAAAAATACCTAAAGCTCATCAGTACCCATTTGATTGTCAGTAAATTAGTGCGTGTCGCATTAGCAATGTTGCATTTATCCCGTCTTTGCGGCGTGCGAGCCTATACTCTCGTTAAAAACTCGACTTGCTTGCACAAGCAAATCGCCACCCAACAACGCAAACCCTTCAGTTCACTATGGCAAAAGTTCGTTGAACAAGAGCAGGTATCATTTGCACAATCAAATAAAAAGCAATTTTCTGATTATTTTTATTGTCAATAGAGTACGCTTCTTCAAAATGCCAAAACAACGGCTAAAACAGTTGCTAAAGCCTCATCCAAACCAACAGATAAAAAAGTTGGATACTGGCTGCTGGGATGCAGTGGAATGGTTTTTGTTGCTGTTGTACTAGGTTATTATTTTACTTTATACTCTGCTAAAGCTGTTGTTGAGAAAGTTACTGATATTACCAAGGGGAAATAAAGTATTCATCCTTTACACCCTTAGAATTTGACCCCTAAAAATTGATTTCAGGTGGAGTCACAAGATTGACAGAGTCTGGTTTATCCATGGTCACATGGAAATTGCTTGGGGAGAAAATGCCAAGGACTGAAGAGCAGTGGGTGGCTGAGTTTGAAAAGTACAAACAATTTCCCGAGTATAAAATGTAAGCTTATTATTATAAATTTAATTTTTTTCCTTCTTATAATTTTTAAATGTGTAGAAAAAACCACGACATCACTTTAAGTGAATTCAAACACATTTGGCACATGGAATATGGCCACAGAATGTGGGGACGATTAATTGGCGCGGCTTTCTTCCTACCAGCCACTTATTTCTGGATGCGCGGCCATTTTAAGCCTGCACTTAAAAACAGAATTATGGTTTTCGGTGGTTTACTGGCCGCACAAGGATTGATGGGATGGTATATGGTGAAATCAGGACTGGAGGATAGATTCCAAGGGGCGTCAGACGTCCCCAGAGTATCACAATATCGCCTGGCAGCGCATTTGGCTCTAGCATTAGCATTGTACGCCGGATTATTCCGATCAGCTTTGCATATCCTCTGGCCAGCAGAAGCCATCCCGACAAAGGATAAAGCAATCATCAATGCATTCAAGAAATTCCGGATGTTTGCGCATTCAACCAAAGGATTGGTATTTTTCACAGCTGTATCAGGTAATTATCAAATCATAAATGTATAATAACATATGGTCACATTTTTATCATAGCTTTTATCAGTGCACACAACAGTTGTTTTTATTTTTCATACTTCAAACGCGTTTAGACCGAATCTAATGCATATTTTAATAATTACAGGCGCATTTGTTGCTGGGCTCGATGCTGGTTTGGTCTACAACTCATTCCCGAAAATGGGCGACAAGTGGGTGCCCGAAGACGCGTTCGCAATGTCACCGAGAATTTCAAACTTCACCGAAAATCCGACTACTGTTCAGTTGGACCACAGGATATTGGGAATCACGTCCTTGACGCTTATCTCTGCACTCTGGCTTGTTTCCCGTAAACGTATGTTACCCCCGCGCGCCAGGAAAGCAGTAAACGCGTACGTTGCAATGGCGTGGTTACAAGTCGCGCTTGGCATTACCACTCTGCTCACATACGTGCCAGTTTCCATTGCATCTTTACACCAGAGTGGATCGTTGATTTTGTTCACCAAAGCATTGTGGTTGACGCACGAAATGAAACGTTTACCGAAATAACTCTTAAGCTAGCTTACCATTTGTTTGCATTGTTTATTTGCGCTCACGGCAAGACTTTAGCGTATTCGACATAAAACGATGATTTCTTAACGTGGTCCCACACCTTGGTGCAGTAGGAGAGCCATGTTTTCTCGGTGAGCGGAACGTGAGAAAGAGGAAACTTAGTTACACAACTTAAGTTTCTACGGAGTGTTTTTACGAGTTGCTCAAGGGGTGGATAACCATGGCATATACTTTCTACACATAAAAAAATCAACCGTTTAAAATACCACAATCAATCAAATTAAAATTTCATTACCTTCATAAGAATCAAAGTCGGGCAATAAAAACAAATTTATTGCCGCTCCACACTTTTCTTCATTAAGTGTTGGAATAATTTTCCCCGTACCCAATCCCAAACTGGACTCTAGCAGAAACTTACTACTTTTGAATATGTTGCGATATGTGTGTTGAATTTGTTTGAATCTTGCCTGGGTGAAGTCTTCTAAAGGTGCTTTTGTATGTAGAATTAGCAGATGTGGACACTGCTCCAGAAATTCTTCTTCATTGTTAGTCATAGTTGGTTTTAACATTTCAGCAGTTAATAAAAACCTGTTATGTAAAATATTAAATTATAATGAAGAATATATTTTATGTAAGAATCTGTGATTTTAATTTAATTACCTCACACTGTTGGGATCAATAAAGAAGTCCTGCGTGAAGATTATGATGTGACATACAGACATAAGGAACGCAATATGTTGAAGGCCTTGCAATTCGCCGAAATGTTCTGCGGTGGAAAGGAGATTTGATCGCTTGAGATCATTGTGAGCGAGTTCATCCATTACTGATGATGAAAGAAATGGTTGACAGTCCAGTAAAATCGTCTGTAAATTCCAATACAATTGGACATATTCAGAAAAATTCAAAACTTTCAATACGTTCCTTTCTATCGCTTTTAGTTTTCGAGATTTCAAGATAGAGCCTATTATTCTTATTGAATTTATATTTGCCTATTTTTTATTGAATTATTTTCGACCTCTCTTATTTTCCCGATTTTATTATTTAATCTCATATAGAATATTCCTTAGATTAAGATCTTCAATCCGTTTATTTTTAGTTTCAGAGATAATGGCAATCAAAACATAAAAAAGTATATTTGCAAATTACTCAATAGTTGCAAGTTTCCAAGTAACCTTAACAATGTATTATTATTTGTATGCTTTGCTTACCCTATTTTCAGTGATGTACATGTCAATCCCATTTGTGGTATGAGAACAATTCTCATAATCATCTGCAGTTTCCAACTTGAAAATACAATGCTGACCCTTTTCACTAGCTTTTGCTTCACTGCACCCATTCTGACTCTGAAACATAAAAATGTGTCACTTCTTGTGGCTGTAATAATTAAATCATTAATAAGATTACCTTGTTTACAGTGTGAAATTTTTCTGTGGCCAGCATATTCATAACTGTTGACTTGCCTACACCTTGAGTTCCAATAACACCAATCACCAGAAAGTCAGATGTGTCATTGGTGTAATCCTGCAGGCTGTCATAGTATAAAATACCATCATCTAAAAGTTTTATTGCTTTGTGCATTTGTTTGGCAGTGTGAAACAGTTGCACATTGGATTCAGTTGTTGCTAACACTTCTTTTGAGCTTGTTGCTTCTTCTTTTTCTTTAACATGTTTAGGTGATAAGGAATGATCTTCAATTTTCTCTCTGGCTTTAATTAAAATTTGTGGATGCTTCATTTTATTTTTTGCATCTGCATCGTCAGGTTTGGGTTCTTTATCAGTTTTGAATAAGGTGCGATTGCGACCAAACTGTTTTTGATCGCGGTCACTCTACAATGACTTCAGGTTAATTGAATTTTAAAGGCTTAAAGAATAAACTTACTCGGTGGGCATTAAACTTTTTCTTGCCGTAAAATTTTCCACGTTCCACATCACGATCAGACATGTTTTCTGTTAGTATTTCGGAGAATAAACTTTGAAAACGCACGGCGACACAAACCGTGACACAAACAGACCGCTTAATGTTTCTTGGTTAGAAACGCTTTTCTTGAGTCGCTCGTTTGGTGTAATATAAGTTGCCTACGTTGAAAGCTAAATTTAAAAATGGATTCAATTTTTCAGGTTTTCGCAATGGATATAAAAGTTCAGTACATTTCGAAGCTCGAATGAGTGAAATATTTATTCATTAACGTTGTGCAAAATGTAAAGCATGTTGAGACATCTGAAATTAAGCCAGCATGCTTCACACTTCAATTTTGGTATAAAAATTAAACTGAGCTTAAGAGGAACATGATTGTGCTTATTGCAGTAATTATTCGACGGAATTAAAAGAAAATAACGAATACATGGTGCGTGAGTACGTGTATACAAAGAAGTATATTATATAACTAACATCAAACATACACACTATAATAATTACTTACAGTAAGTACAATTCCTCACATAATTTTCTTGTATTATTACTTTTGCTTTACGATTGTAGCGATTATGTAAAAAACAATATTACTTATTTACAATAAGTTTGATTCATCTGGACAGATTTGCAATATATAATTATCATTATGCATTTTATCAGTATAATATATTTATATATTTATATTAAGTATAGTTTCATTATTAGCATTATAATTATTATACACACGCTGGAGGGAATGTTATATTTAAAACAATACAATCTCCGCTGACACAACGTTACAGAATGCTTGTGTGTCCGCGCAAGCTTGTATTTAAAAACATTTGCCTAACGAGAGGCTTAACAACATTGTTGGCCTTAGGAATATCGTGCAAGCTTGAAAGCTGTAAGGATGTGCTCGTACTTTACAAATTTATGTGAAATTCGTGAGTGTCCGATGATGGTAAATATCCGATTTGCGAAGCCACACCACAACATGGTTCGTTTATACTTTATATCTTAGTAAATGTACCAGCTAAAATAATAAAACAAATCAGTAACGCACATCATGTTTTTTTCTTTTGCTAAAAGTCTTCATTAAGTATCAGTTTAATCAATATTACATCTTACTAGCAAATTATGCAAAAACCTAAGTTATTTAACAACATTTTCCCTAATCGGCGTGTCCGCGAACAACCAATCAAACTTAATCTAATCACAATATGTTCCCCTTGCCGTGCTGAGCAAAGTTAATTAAGTACATGTACACAAATGTCCGTATTGCACTGATTAAAACTTAGATATCGAATTGTAAAACCTCACCAACCCCAAGAAAGTTAAAATAAGAACGGTTAAAATAGCTAGTAATTTAAATAAATGCGTACTATCTGTGGAAATAACCTATTCATATAATACTTGCCCTTACTAATACTTGGTAAACTTGTTTTTTTTTGTTTGCTTAAATGTTAGTAATGTAAATTTAGTAGCGTTGCTGGAACTCGTGATGCCACCTATTGAAGTCGATGTGAAAAACGACGATCGATCCTAACGCTAGACCGGCTAGCAGAAACCTGAAAATAATAAATTAAGGTATTATTATGTTCAAATATATGTTTAAATGCTTACTTTTGGTCGTGCGATAGTGCCAACGAGCGCACGCTGCTATCACACGCTGGAAAGGCATACAACAATGCTAAATTGAACGTCCTCCAAACCTCAACGATGCCTTTGTCCCCGCCAGTCATTAGATATTCTCCATCACGACTCAATATTAGGCACTGGTAATAAAATAAATGAATAAATTTGCACAACCATTTGAAAATTGTAGTTACCTGTAAGTTATCATTATGTGATTCGTGTCTTAGTCGTTTGCCATTGATTGTAAAGGCGGCAATGTTTCCCTTTTCGTAATTAATTACAATCACGCCTTCCCTTGACATAGCAATATTCCCCGGCGAGTTGAAACCAGTAGGAGCGTCCAAAGATCGTAAAAGATCCCCGAAAGTAGTGTGAACTAACACAGGACCATCTAAAGTAACAAAAACAAAGAATATAACAACATATAAGTAAATATTAATAGAATTGTCATGATCAATTTCTTACTAGTTGAGCCGGAAACAACAAGTCCAAGCTCCGCCGAGATGACAACCGCCGTCACCGGTTGTTCATGTCCGGTTAACGTCGCCCGTGGCGTTGGGACCTCACCCTCACCAACAATCGTCTGCGTCCTGGCATTCCAGTGCCACAATAACACGGTGCAGTCAGCAGACCCGGAGGCTATGTAGCAATCCGAAGTGATATTACACTCGGAGCGCGACAGACAAGTGACGACGCCATAGTGCCCGAAGACGATCTGAACAATCTTCGCTGTTTCCGTAGAGAAAACGCGGAAACTATTGTCCCAGAAGCCGCACGCGACTAAAAACTTGCTGTCGACCGTGGTGACAAAGCAATTGGAGCGTATGCGTAGATTCTGGCTAAAGTTATCACCCAAATGGCGGCGCAACATTGGATTTGTACTATTATTTGTTTGCGCTGCAAATTATAACAAAACATATAAAATTATCCATTCAAACCTTTAAATACTCCCAAAACTTACACAAAACCGGATCCATTGATAGTGGTAAATTTGATCCGGCATTTTGTGGTGAATCTGCATAGCTGGGACTCTGCGCCAACGCAGCATATCCGGTATTCCACCTGTTCACAGCAAACTGCTGATGCATGGTCACCGTGACCACCGACGGCAGCGGTAACTGCGGATAGGTATTCGCCGAGATGTGAACAATCGGCGAGTTTGACAAGAACTTCATCGTCATGCAGACGTCATCAGGAATGGTAGAGAACATCATCGGAGACTATAAAAATGATAAAAATCAGTTAAAATGTCAAAATTTGACCCACATAACGATGTTATGTATGTATCACTACCAGATGCATAGCTGAACTCCTCGGCGGATGTGGTTCCATCAATAACTGTGATGGAGTCTGTCCGAAATTATGAATTTGATTCTCAATGGCTTCACGCATTACTTTATCCGTAATAGAATCCATATCAACATTTCCTTCGTACGTCAGATAGTAAAACACATTCGTCGCTCGGATAGCCTCGGGTCCGCGCTGCTTGTACCCAAAGATCAAATCGATCCATTGGTGTAATTGACATGAGACAAATTCGGACTCCAACGCCATGCGATTAATCCTCACAAACTCTTCGGGAGAATTGGCCCATGGAGGCAGCTCCACATCGTCGACAACACTACCGCTATCCTGATTACCCAAACGATAACGATTTGAATTCACAAACATCTCAGGTAAGAAGAAAAACTCCGGAATCAATTCTTTGACATCTGAAGTATCGCGTTGACTGTTCTTCCACGAAAGTGCTATAGAAGAAAAGAGGCGATCGGGATGATCAAACTTTCCGCCCTGTATGGCCAAGAACATGGTGGTCATCGGTTCCACGCGGATGAGCCAATTTAAGACAAACGTGGCAGTCGAATAGTGAGTACCATAGTGGAATGGCGGAATACTCTCATGATCCCAGGTATTGTAACGTTCTTCAAAGTAAGCGCGACGGCTGGGATTGAGAGCGCCGATGGGTTTCGAAAGGTCCCTGTAGTTGTTGGGCTGACTAAGGTCGAGCTCTTTGCTCTCGTAATTTGTCAGTACCCACGGAAAGACGGGATACTGATTGAGATCGTTGTAAGTCCGTCCTGAGGATGATGAAAAAATAACACACAAGTTAAGATTGAGAGGGGAATGAAATATAGTATATTATTTCGGGATCAAGGGGCTGGCTGGCTGGGGCCGGTACGGAAGGGTGGCGTAATCCCCAGTTGGTTACGGTGACTGAGGTGGCGTCTAATTCGACCTGACATTTTCCACCCGGCACGAAAATCCCTAAAAGGGCCTCCTCGCAAAATGAAGAAAACAAACAAACGAAAAATCCACCCCATTTTCAATTACCGTACATCATGAAATCGTGACAGTTAAAAAATGTATCTTTTCCCGACTAAAAAAAGATGTTCCGAAGAAAGTACAGAAAAATGTTGAGCTAATTGTAACCATTAACAGACGAGTAAATCAAACAGTGTCGTTTATTAATAGCGCGCGCCCGTCTGGAAATTACTTGATGTATTTGTTTTTAATGCATTTCCAGCCCCCCGTGACAAGTGTTAATTTTGCATGCAGCGTTCGACTTCACGCCCCGTCAACATGTGGAATGATTTCCCGGCGCACGCGGCCGCTGAGACCTCATCGCTTTCGATTACTGCGTCTTAATTGGATGTGTAACACGCGTGCTATTTATAAAACCCGGCGCGCTATTTTTCGCGAGCGTAATTAACTATTTCCTCTCCGGATGCGTCCCTTACCTGCTATCGTATTGAGGAACATCAAGTACTCAAAGTTGGAAATCTCGCGCCGCTGCCATTTCTGTGTCATGTTGGAATTTCGCATTAATTGCCGCGGAGACATCATACTCGCACGTCTGCTTGCAGAAAACAAACACAAAACACGTTCAATCAAAGACATAATATATTGTGACGCTTGTGATGGTTTTTGCTAACCTTGTTTGTGGAATGCCATATTTGATTCCGACGCCAACACGTGGAAGAACTTTGATGACTTTTTTCACGGTGGCTTGGTCCGGGAACGCAAAAAGTATCGATGCTATAAAGAAAAACATTACTAATCTGTAAAATGTATATATGTAAACGTCCACGTACTTCTGCTGGCCAAAAAGATTTCAATCGCAACATTCTGAAGCAGATATCTTCGAGAGAAAATCGCCCGCACTTCCGAGAAGTACCACTTGCCATGCAGATGGTCACAGTATTTCAAGACCTGTAAAGACAAAGAATTTCATTAATAACAGCCACATTAAATTGAGCTTATAGCGGCAATTAAAGCTTGTTAACGTTAACTCATAATTTTGCCGCGCGTGAGCGCACAAGATGGCCGCCAGCAGGAATAATACGCGGCGCAGGCCGAGGGAGGAGCCGTCGAGTATCATTTAATATCGCGAACATCGATCGCGCGCGAACCGCGCACATTGGTTTAATGCGCAGAGCGTGCGCGAACTCTTCGACCCCCCGCAGCACGAAACTCAACTTCACAAGCGAATTTGATACTTTTCCACAAACCAACATCTCCTACCTCATAAAATATTGAAGATAATCGCTGTTTACATCAAAAACACACAGCCAGAGAGAAAATTTCAACAAAATGGCGACCGAAAGTGCGTTCGTCGTGCAAGAGAGTACAACAATAACACTATAAATAAAATGCAATGCAAAGTAAACACATTAATAACATTTATTGACGTCTTCAACGTGTTCCAGAGGTTTGCATTTCGTGCGCGTCGCGCCGAATGCCGATGACAGAGACGAACACGGCCGTGGAAAAGAGTAAAACAATGGGCGCTGCTAGAATATCCGTCGTTATCAGGGAATGCCGATCTGGGCAGGTCCACATAAAGTAAATGTCACAGTGTCATTCGAAGAAGAGAGGATATAAATTACAAAAAGCTCTATCTTCTGAAAAGCGACGACCATTAAAAACACACACGCCGGGGCCTGACGTTCGGGCCTCAAACGAAATATAAATAAGGGTAAGACGCACACACGTTTCTCCTCAATTCGGGCTCGAAATACGCGCATAACTAAAATTATTAACATATTACCTGACGAGCATACCCGATGTGTTTTAAATGCGCATAAATTTTTGTTATACGCTCGAATTCGGAATAAATTCCTCACCGAAACAAAAAAAACAGAGGAAACTGGTGGACATTGTCAACATGGCATTCATTCCACCATAAAGGGGCAATTTATTCACGAATATTTGTTGATTACATTACTAGTAATTTAATTTGAATGTAAAAGATTAGATTTTCTATAGAAATAAAGCCATAAGATGGTAACATCTGAAGATAAAATTTTGATTGTTTGTTTCTATCAAAACGCTAAGTACAACAGCTGTTAGTATGATATAAAAAGAAAAAGAAACATTGTTATTTTCCGTGTTATAGGGGAAGGTAGCATAATTTGGACCAGCGCCTAAGTTGGACCACCACGATATCCGCGGACTGTTGATGTTTTTGCAAAAATAGACAGGCCCCTTGTTTTACTCGTATTTATAAACAATTGATGCAACTATTTGGGTTAAAACTTGCCGCATGCTTTCGTCGTGACAACAACTTTTTGTATCCTTGATTATCAAATCTATTATAACGACGTAAGTGCATAAGCTGTCAAGCTGTTTAAACGTTAGATTTCACGATTATAATTATATCATCAGAAAGCTTATTTATTTATCTATAATTTATAGTATTAATTTGGAGAGGTTATGTTATATTAAGATTGTCGTTGATCATTAAATAAAAATTCTTCAAGTTGCCCAAGTTGGACCGGAAACAGGCACCGGGTTTTTACAGGGAAAACGTATATCATTTTTTTGATCTCTTAGAAAAGCTTGTGGACGAGCACAAATCTTCGAAATGATGCAGTGTATGAAATGCCGCACTTTGGTTTATACAAAATGTGCTTGTGTTTCTGCTAAAACTAAAATTTACTATTGTGTCAATAGCCGTTAAAAAAGCATGGTCCGATTTAGGAAACCGCGCGGTCCAATTTAGGAAACCGGTTTCTTAATTTGGACCAAAAACACAATTTTTTTAAATTGAAATTTGAGGGGTATAAATATAATTTTTACTTAAACCAAAAATATCATTTTGTTGGTAAGCCTTGTGAGTTACTTTTCCGCTACTTAATTTTTATTGACAGTTTATATGTGGCTCTATAAATCAAAAAATATAAAAATGGTCCAAATATGGCTACTTTCCCCTATGATATAAAAAGAAAAAGAAACATTGTTATTTTCCGTGTTATATCACAATATCACAAAAAAAAATCCGAGTTCGGGATTAATTCCTGAATTTAGTCACAAAAATTTGTAGATTGCGTTACTAGTAATCTAATTTGAAGGTAAAACATTGAATTTTCTAAAAGAATAAAGTAATAAGACGATTCCACTTGAAGATAACGTGTTGATAGTGATAAACAGTCAAACATTTAAGTACACCAGCTGCTGGTGTGTTATAAAAAGAAGAAAATATTGTCGTTGCCCGTATTATATCAAAATATCAGAAAAATTCTCGTAATGGCTTTCCTTTAGGGAGTGAAGCAAAGTATGATTGACAAATGAAAGGTGTTGTGTAACGCTGAGGGTTCGCCATTGTCTTCCTGTCCGCGCAAACAGTGCACACCGAGAGATCCATCCATTCCCTCGTGGTAATCTCATCATCGGTGAGCTTTGCGTACCCAGCGTCCCATTAGTGCGCCCTCATTTGTTCCCTTTGTTCCCCGAGGGAATTATAAAGCCAGATTAAAAACATTTCATCGAACATGTAAGTATTTATCAATAACTCATCACTCAACTCTTTGAATCAACATTCAGTAAAATTATATGTTTTATAATTTAATAAAATAAAACATAAAAACTTTAATTTATAATTAAGATATGTTAGTTTACTAGTTAGCGTCGAGTATAGTATACTATATCATATTTCGTGTTCAAGTGCAATATCAAAACACATTTTTGTTCCACACAATGTTCTATAGTGTATGGGGAGTCCATTAAAAGTAATCGTGCACAAGGGGACACCTGGGCGCATACTGCACACCTTCAGTATTCTTCTATTTTCGGCCGTGAGGCATGTGTCACGTGTCTTCGTTCACATCACCCGCAATGCTTACTAAATACTCTAAATCCTCTCAGGGTCATAAATCTCACATGCGCATTTACACCCTCCTCTAAATCTGCACCAGTAATTCCGAAATCATAAACTCTGCATTAGGAAATGGAAAAAAAAGAGCAAACTAAGTAAGTACTTGTGCAAACTCCAACACCCCAAAGATCACTGAGATCATTAAAATTCAAATTGCGGACAGCCACGCGTCAGCATTGTTGGTGCGCGCTGATTCAGGCGAGTGTACCAGCTCAACCGAGATAAAACACGTTTTTGGGGTAGTTGACAATCGTTAGTTTGTTTTTATTACCACAGCAAGTATTTTTCTTCACGCCCACGTCCACTCATCGGTGGACAAAGTGTGAGCGTTCGTCGCCCTCGCCCTCAGGTGTGAATTTGTGTTATGTTAAAGATAAGACATGAAATAATGGAGAGTGGCAAGATTGATTAGTACCGGTTCTCCTTCGTGTGGCTTTGTTCTGTTTTGCACACACTGACTACAAAAACAAAAGCAAGAGTGACTTATCAGTTGAAGAAAATTACGACGCCGCATTAGAAATGATTAAGCTGACGTTGTTTTTAGTTCTATACTTACATTATCCATAGAAACGATCGTCCGGTGGTATTTATCGCCGGTTGGTAATCGCGTTTGTTGTGTGTATTTTATTCTCGAAAATGTTTATTTCGCCCGTGCGACAACCGCGCTAAGTGCAAATTTATGCACAAACGTGACCAGCCATAGCAACCACAAACCAAACAAAATAAAATGATAAAATTAAATTTAATTGGAAGATCTCGATTTCGAGTTAAGACCGCGTCGGTTTCTGTCGCGCGCTCGGACATGTTTAAATGCTAATTGACGTTTTTAATGAATGACCCCCTTGATAGCATGTACACGTATAATTATCGACACTGGCAGCACCGCGACTACCAAAAACTAACCAACAATATAAATGATATCTACCTGTAATTGATTTATTTTCATATTAAATTTACTATAAAACTGAATATCATAAACGTGTACGATGGGAACTGCGCGCGCTCGAAGCCCAAACAATATTTACGATCGTATTTTTCGTCTCACCGCTTGAAAAGGATAAAACTGGACGGGGCGTCGTAAAGATAAAAACGGACATTAAGAACACGTCCAAAGTATCCACGAAACGGGACGATTTTCGTACGACAACGACTACTACACACCATTGGTTATTGAAAAAACATTTCTGATCAGAAATCGGAAACCTTTCGATTACAAAAATGTTGAATATTTAAATATTTTGTCTTTGAAAATCGACAACTACATCATAATTCAGAAAAAACATCCAAATTCTAAACCTAACATAACCTAACATTTTTCCAAATGATCAATACATCAGCACCAGAAACAACATCGTAATCCAATTGTAGTTTCATTAGTCAGCAAGTGTGTTTGTTGTATAATTCGTTTATATGCCGTCTGGTGGCGCATTGCATTAGGTACATTGCAGACTGCACCCCCTTGAATAGTCGGCGAAAAGTGACAGTAATTCGGTTTTATGTAGCGCGTCCCTGTGCCACCCCTACAAATAGGCGATTCCGCATCGCTGGCCAGGATAATGTAATTTTCCTGCATTACTTATTGTCATATCGTGGCGTAAGTGCATGTAAATCGAGGCGAACGTGACCCCCGTCTGCCAAAATGATAAAATGTCATGTCTAGACACTCTTGAATCTGTAGACAAAACAAAAACCGATCGCATTCAATTAAATAGGAATGTGTGAGTTATATTTTTTCGGTAAAATTTAGCGACGACCCCACAACAAGCAGTTGATGACGGGATGTGTCCATATGGTTGTACTTATGTCAAGAATCCGGATGTGTGCAAGCGCCGGAGATATTAGGAGGTAAACCTCTGGCAGAACGAACACGTTGTATCAATTACTCAGCGAAAAAAGCTGAAAATTTCGAAAAATTTAAATCACCAAGCAAGCTGGTAGGTAATGGTGATTGTTTTAGTGGGTTTTAATTCCTAGTTCCTCTCCAAATTGCCCCAAATGTGGCATAATGAGGCGTGTAAGATGCTGGCCGGGGCACGTTTAAAATATTTACCCAAATTGCCTATAATTAACCACCCAGCAACAGCGTGCGCACATTAAAATTCTCGTCGACGACGCGCCGGCGCTTGATTTAGGGAAAAAATATGATGGGATTCGACCCGGTGTGTGAGCAGACATGAGGAACTCATAAATCTCATTTATGATGTAGGAAGTTCGGCATGTGATGAGTCTAAAGTGGGGGTGGTATTAATATCAGACTTCGCACCCACAAACCGCAAAGCAAACACTAAAATAAAAAAACAATCATTCCTGGAAGTTGAGACACGAAAAAACAAACATTTAAGATGTGCCAACAAAAAATATCATACATCTCAATCACAACTGAGATGATGAATAAACTATTAAATTTTATGACCAGCTACTAATCGTTCATTATAGCTTCACTCACATTGTCAGCACGTGCGGATTTTTTTGACGAGCACTCATCGCACAACCTCCAAAAGATCAATGAACAAACCCCGAACCAAAAGCAACACTACAAAAACGGTACAACATGAAAAAAATCACAAGAACAACATTTAAGATGTCTATCTAGGTACTTCAAGTTGTAAGTAGTATCAGCGAGGGGTAGATGAATACAAAGAACGTCAAAACTTCAAAACGGCTCCATTTTCGACGTTGGATTCCATTGTCCTCACCGAGAGGCTTACAGACGGATAATCCCCGACTGAAAAAACTTCCCTTGATACAAAACCATACCTATCTCTTACACAAGACTGACAAAAGCACAACTATAGCGCACAATTCGAAGTACCTAGTAATTCGATACAGTTACTGATCTATACTCAACAGCAGATGAGTTATTACACGGTTAAATAATTGCGAATAGATGCCCCGATTGTAGGCACAAAGTTTCCGTTTGGAGAGTTGCGCGCGCGCGAGAGTCCAAGGAGGAGTTTGATAAAAGAGGAGGCGCTTGAAGCGCGCGCAATACACCGGAAGCTCTGGCCACGCCTGCCATGCGCAAAATGCAACTCGCAGCGGGATCGTCAGTGCCCGCAGGAATCAGGACGCGCCCGCGTCCGTGCCTACCTGAGCGTAAAGCAGTGTCGCAGCGACGGCCGGCGAAACATCGAGTACGACGTGTGTGCGGGCGCCCCCGGCCGCCCATCTTCAAAAAACATGCTCGTACCCGCCGACATGTTAGCGGCGCAGTCCAAGATGCTCTACCAGATTAATAAATACTACGGCGAGCGTGTGCAGACGCGCATGGGCACGATCGCGAAGACCATCCGCGAGGTGTGCAAGGTGGTGCAAGATGTGCTCAAGGAGGTTGAAGTGCAAGAACCGCGCTTCATCTCATCGCTCACCGAATGCAACGGCCGTTACGAGGGATTGGAAGTGATCTCACCCGGCGAATTTGAGGTGGTGTTGTATCTCAATCAAATGGGCGTTTTTAATTTCGTAGATGACGGCACGCTGCCCGGTTGTGCCGTGTTGAAATTGAGCGACGGTCGGAAGCGTTCCATGTCGTTGTGGGTGGAGTTCATCACCGCTTCGGGGTATCTTTCGGCGCGTAAGATCCGCTCGAGGTTTCAAACGCTAGTGGCGCAAGCTTGTGATAAATGTTCCTATCGTGATTCGGTGAAGATGATCGCCGACACCACCGAAGTAAAGCTAAGAATCCGCGAACGCTTCGTTGTGCAAATTACACCGGCGTTCAAATGTTCCGGAGTATGGCCCAGATCGGCAGCGCACTGGCCCATACCGCATATTCCATGGCCGCACCCAAATCATGTCGCTGAAGTAAAAACCGAAGGGTTTGATCTGCTCTCCAAGGAAAGTATTGCAATGCAAGGAAAACAATCAGCAATGGAAGGAGATGCCTGGGTGTTATCCTTCTTAGAAGCGGAAAACCGTCTTTTACAAGGTGGGTGCCGAAGGAGATGTCTCAGTATCCTCAAAACGCTTCGAGATAGACACCTGGACCTGCCCGGGAATCCAGTGACAAGTTATCACATGAAAACCCTACTACTCTACGAGTGTGAAAAACATCCCAGGGAAGCCGAATGGGACGAGTCCTGTATTGGGGACCGCATCAACGGAATCTACCTGCAGCTCATCTCATGTCTACAGTGCCGACGGTGTCCGCACTATTTCTTGCCAAACTTGGATTTGTTCAAGGGAAAATCTCCGAGTGCGTTGGAGAATGCCGCGAAGCAAGTGTGGCGCCTAACTCGTGAAATGCTCACCAACACAAGGTGCTTGGAAAAATTGTAATATCGCAAAGCCAATGCTACATTCAGACGCCATTCCTATTATATCATATACCTAAGTATCTAGATACTTTGTAGGTTTGTTGTGTTTTCAACTTTGTATTATGACTCATCTCTTGCAAGTGCCATAATATCACGTGGTGATTATTTTGCTGACTGAATCGATGCTTTAATTATTAAGTAATTATTTATTTCACATGTTTTATTATCTTTGTAAATATTTTTGTATGATTGTTTTATTTACCTATATATTTATGTGCAATTAATTAAATTACTTCGAGTTGTTGAGTGTGTGCGTAATAAAAACGAGTATATGATCTAAAATTATAAAGTTTTCCTCAGTTTAAACCTAAAACAATCCAAAAATATTTAATTTTGTCCGTATTGGAAGAAAAACGTAAATAAATGCACCTCACAAATAATTTAATAATCATGTAATTGTATAACAAGCAAAAAGCAGGTGCATACAAACAGGATGTTCTCTTGCACGTTCAAAACCTTGAGAAAACAGATTGAGTTAAACCCAACTGTCGTTGATTAAACATGATGTACAATTTCCACGCGACTGAATCATGAATTAACGTTTGTCTTCTCCTACAAACTGAATTCAACATAATTTAATTAATTAAGCGCGTTTTCCACTTTTAATAAATTCACGCAAAACACGCTGCACCGGGAACCGGCGCGCTGAAAATTTATTAAAGCCACTTCGATCACAACTGGCGTGCATGCCCGCGTTAGCAATAAATACAAAAAGAAGAAAACAGCTTCGACATTAAAGAAAAAAAGCAACAGCAGCACGTCTGCAGCGTGCAACGTGGATTGGCCCATCGGAGAAATTTAAAACCTGCCTACTCTCACAAGGGGAGGGGTGGCATTCTCACCTGAGCGCCGAGCTTGGCGTTTTTTTGTCGACGCTGCCATTCGAAACGTGAACACGGCGAAGCTCTCACACACGCAACACAACACAAGAGATCATCGTGCCGGTCGCGCGCGCGCTACGAATCTATCACAGCCGCCCTCCCGCCCGCCGCCAGATAAGACGCGCACTCACACACCACCCCCACCATATCTAATCGCGACAAAGAAGAAGATATCATCCAAATCGGCCGGATGACCGCAGTAGCTATTAGAGCCGCCAACATGCTCGTACCGCCGGACATGCTAACCGCGCAATCGAAGATGGTCTACCAACTAAACAAGTACTACACGGAGAAGGTCCAAGCGCGTAAGCTGCAAGTGAGCAAAACCATTCAGGAAGTGTGTCGGGTGGTGCAAGATGTGCTCAAGGAAGTGGAAGTACAAGAACCGCGCTTCATTTCATCTCTGAGTGACTACAACGGGCGTTATGATGGGCTTGAGGTGATCTCACCCACAGAATTCGAAGTTGTCATCTATCTGAATCAAATGGGTGTGTTGAATTTCGTGGATGATGGTACCCTGCCCGGTTGTGCCGTGTTGAAGCTAAGCGACGGCCGCAAGAGATCCATGTCTCTGTGGGTGGAATTCATCACCGCTTCGGGATATCTTTCAGCGCGTAAAATGCGCTCACGGTTTCAGACTCTAGTGGCGCAAGCGTGTGACAAGTGCTCGTACAGGGACTCGGTGAAGATGATCGCCGACACCACCGAGGTGAAGCTGCGCATCCGCGAACGCTTCATTGTGCAAATAACCCCGGCGTTCAAATGCGCAGGACTTTGGCCGCGCTCTGCATCGCATTGGCCATTACCACAAATCCCTTGGCCACATCCCAATCTGGTGGTTGAGGTAAAAACCGAGGGTTTCGATCTGCTCTCCAAGGAGTGCATCGCCCTGCAGGGTAAACAATCCGCAATGGAAGGCGACGCATGGGCGTTATCCTTCTTAGAAGCGGAAAATCGCCTATTACAAGGCGGCTGCCGACGGAGATGTCTTAGTATCCTCAAAACCCTACGAGATAGACACCTGGACCTGCCCGGAAATCCAGTGACAAGTTATCACATGAAAATGCTTCTGCTCTACGAGTGTGAAAAACATCCGAGAGAGACTGAGTGGGATGAAGCGTGCATCGCGGATCGAATCAACGGTATTTTCCTGCAACTTATCTCGTGCCTTCAGTGCCGACGGTGTCCGCACTACTTCCTGCCGAATTTGGATTTGTTCAAAGGGAAATCGCCGAGTGCGTTGGAGAATGCCGCGAAGCAAGTGTGGCGGCTGACACGTGAGATGCTCACGAATTCGCGATGCTTTGAAAAGTTATAAAATGCGCACGTCTATAGTTTATTGAGTACAAAAATGTTAGCTGTTAAACTGCACCCTATTAGTAATTTATTTTCTCAAATGTATTATATTCGCGAGTGTGCGCAGAACGAATGAGTGTGTGCATGCGTGTGGTTTTTGTTTTTATTGATTTTCAATTTTTGGGTCGTGTTTCAACTCAGACTGTGATTTTAATTGTAATATAAATAAATAAACCGGATTTGTGAAGTGTACAATCGTCTAAAATGAATCAAAATGTTTTCTATTAATTATTGATTACTTATTCACATTTAGAAAGTTAAAAAAACACTACATTTCCTGGTATAAAGAGCAAAATTTAACTGCAAATTAATATTGAATTACTTTTTATTCGTCAGTGAAAAATGAGTTATTTCTTCACAGTTATACTCACAAATTATTTCTTAACAAATCTATGTAAACCTGGTAGGTAATTTTATTTTGTTGTTGTTTTATAATAATTAATCAATAACAAAGAAAATAACCCAACTACGAGTTTTAGACCGTTATACTTCGCATAACCGTACTCTATACTATATTTTCGAAGATGAGACTTGTACTACCTACTTACTGAAATACCCCATGACTTTTGTATAAATAAAATTGATTTAGTAATAAAACAAGATGCGTTTCATTTAATAACGCGCCGCATAAATTACTCCTAAAAAAACACCTAAACGAATTACGCTTCGAAATTTAATTGCATCATATCGTAGAGCTCTGCTTGCCAATAAATTGTGACCGTACAAATTCTTCATTAACTATAATAGCCTATAATTACATCAATTAAAAATTACCTGTACGCTATTTAAACTACGCGAGTGCTTTAAATCAATTTTTCCACACACTACAAGCGGCGAAAATAAAAACATAAACTATTTCCAGATTAAAAAGTGATAGCTGCCCAAATTTAATAGATACTTTAAGTAACAAAACTAACAGTAGCTTCAATTTGGAGTTTTATTGCTTGATTTTATATTCATAGCTCTTCTGTAGTCATCACCTAAGTACGGTACTAATGCACGCTGCATTTTTATACAGTCTGCTACGAAATGTAAACATTTTCGGATTTATCACCGCCTCCGCGTTGCCAACTAATAACATTCCTGTTAAAAATATCTCTTCGCTGTATGTGACATTGGCATTGCTTGGCGCGACATGTTGTGTGTTAGGAGATAAAACATTTTAAAATGGCCGCCGGGAGTGCAGTTAACATGGGGGAAATTGGGTGTAATGTATTTGAGTGGACAGACTGTATTTCCTGTACTATATCTACTGCTACACACAAACTCTTCTCGTGGAAGAGATGTGTTTTATTTTCACGACATTCGTTTGGCCCGAATAGCACTTAAACCAAAACTGTGGCGTCGACAATAAACATATCGTTTGTGTTTTGGGTTTTTCGACTTGCGAAGCGATTAGTTTAAATGTGAAGCGCTTTATTTCTTCATTATCTAAATATTCGGTAACGCCATAAAATTGACCATCAAATATCTTATTGGAAGTTGAATTTAACTCAAATGAGGTAATTATCATTATATACAACTTCGAAACTACAAGAGGTTCCAATTTTATCAATTTTACAACTGAAACGGTATTTTTTCAGAGGATAAAAAATCATGCGCTTGTTTAAATGAAGATTTATGCACTTCCACTCTGAGAAGCGCATGAAAAATGAAAAACAAAACGCTACCGCGGTGCTACCGGAGGGGAAAAAGAAATTCACGAAAATAACATCCTTAAATAAAGTTTTTATGTGCGTTTTCCCCTCGCAGGCAACTCTTAAATGAAAACAAATTACACTCGTGTTTGGGTTTGCGCCTGCCGCTCAAAAATACAAAGTGCATTCACTCTATAGGGGAGACACGTCAAAAGTCTCTAGTTTCGGCACGCAAACTTGCAACATGAAGAAATTTTCATCCAATGGGCGGCAGTTCGATAAGATATCGCAAGTGTGTTGAATGAAATTTAAAAGTAATTTCGGATTACACCAAACGGCCCACAGTCATCCCAATCACCGGTGTTCGGGACGAAGAAAGCATTTCGGTGTTCTTTATCCGTCACGCACGTCACTTGACAACTCAACATGTCCGCCGGCAGCAGCCGCCGGGATGAAATATATCCGGATAAGTGTTTGGGAACTAATACACGGCGGCAGATATGCGCACAAACGAGCATCTTACCAACCGAAAAACACACTCAAATGGAGGCGAGCCACTTAAGGAGATAAAAGGCGGCTTGCGAGTTACATTCTTAAGAGTAATTAGATATTAAAATCAATCATTGTAGTCAAACAGGAAAAACTCATTGGAATTAATTTATGCGCGCGCAGCGCTGGCTCAAATCCTTTTGCACTTAGTAAAATAAGGTGATTTAAGTTCGGGCTTCTGTTCCTACCTCCGCGTCGGCCGATTCTCTCGCGCCGGGGCCCCGTGTGTAAGGGCATTACCACGCTGGCGCCTGACCCCCTGCAGTCACAGACCGAAAACCGTGCCCCCTTCTGTGAGAGCCCTCAGCGCACGGATTTAGCCATAAAACCCACAGCTCGAATAGGTTACATAATTGACTTTGTAAACATTACAGATTATGATAGCCACAAAGTGAAAGTCAACACAAGCAAATACAATTTTTAGCCCGGTGTCAAAACTCTTAGCGCAAAGACGAGTGGTTAAAATATTACTTCTAAATATGAACGCGCACTCGCGCGATAGATAAATCGGGATGCAATAAATCGTGTTGATGGCGCCGTTAATTACAATTGAAAACAAATATGTTAGGGTGGTGTGTGTGCCGCGAGCGCAGGGTGGCAAGAAATACGACGCTTGTCACATTCGACGACTCGCTCATTGAATCAACCCTAAAATAGTCGCAAACGCGTCGCGCCGCGCGACCGTATAAATAAGTTGAAAGACAAAAAAATTCAACTTCATTTCGAGGAATTACAAGAACAAAAACCGTCGCGCAGGGTTTAAAAACATGTGCGTTGAGTAAAAATGATAAATGAATTTCCACACGATGGACACAGATGCAAATTGAAACTTTCATAAGGTGTAAGAGGTGATAAACGAACAACAGCTGAGCTCAACACTCCTTAAATTTCTACCGAAAGCACTTCTAGCTTCTTGTCTTAATATTTAGTAAATATTGTTACGATTATTACTGCATTAGCCGCGGCGCAATTTCATTCAAAATTCAGGTTTCACTTAGGAATCGTGAATTGTGTTTTTGCCACCGTGTACTCCCACCAAAAACATAATATCGCTGCAGGAGCGCAGGATGTATACATCAAAGTGGCAAAGCACCACTTAACAGTAATGCAATGTTTTGTCTGGGTAGTTGGTCCCTGGGGGGGATGTCGCCGGCGTCGGGAAAGGCCCCGGTTCCGGTCCACGCGTTTTCTACTGACAACCGCCATAAATCTCCGCCTATTTTCCAAGCGCGCACATTTGATGCGCTCCCCAGGGAGACACCACTCGGGAGGTAATCAAATTTGGATTAATCCGATGTAGTAGCGCCGTAATTGCGCCGGCCAAGGGAACAAAACACTATATTTAAGCAGCGCGGGGTGGACCCGAGGCTATGCATCAAAAAGTGAGCAATCACTAAAAGAAAGGGTCATATCTACCCGTAAATAGAAAACATGTTTCACAGCAATTCGATTAATGCGTGTTTCATTAGATAAATTTACAGTATCCTACCTTATGAACGCGCGGCAATGAATTAATTTTTAGCGTGTCACTCACCTGCAACAAACGAAATAAATTTATTAAAACCATGAATATTAATACTTTCATAAAATAAATTAAACATCATAATTAATAAGCAAATGCGTCAGTAATAAATTAAAGTATAAAATTACACAAATCTGAAATGAAAAAAAGTTCAAAGACCTGGTGAACCTGATGATTACAATCGTTTTGCCAAATAAAACCCGATCTAGTAAAGGTTTAAGGATCCTTTGTGAGCGTTTTCGATTATTTCGTGTAATAACATCAGAACATAAAGAAATAAAGCAATAAAGCGACGCATTATCACGCGTATGGATTTCTATGCGTCTCCTGTTTGTGCGCGCACGACAAACTTTTCCGTCCCCGCGATTGTCTCACACGATACGAAAAACATCTCGGGTTACAACTCGTTTATGCGCCGCCGTCCGAGATCAGATATTCTCGCACGCATCGGCTAACAAGCGTCGTCTCGTTTTTCATCCGACTATCTTTACGAATCCGTTGCGGCTTGTTTCTTCAACGAAATATGTTCGAAAAAATGTTCAAACACAATCATAAAATCATCGCTGTAGAAATTTCTTTAATTAAAATCAATGCATTGTAAAAGTAAGTAACTAACATTACACAACTAACCATTATCCAGTATTTGTATGCGCAATCAACGGTTTTGTTTGATGAATTTCACGAATTTTGCGTGTTGTGTGTTGAAACACGTGTTTGGCACCCATATTTACATACGCACATTGCTACCGTACGCCGTGTATGAAGTATGAAGAATGAAGAAAAAAAATTAAGCATTGCCCGTCAACGCTTAATCATGTGATGCATGTTGCGGGCCATTGGAGGCGATATTTCCCGAGCACCGTGCGCTATTTTCAGCCGAAAAGTGCGCCGCTAATAGTAACAAATAGGTTCGCGTCGACGGCGGGGCACGCGATTGCCTTTTACGATCGCTTAATGAGCAATACGTCCGATTAGAGGGCGGACTGGACACGTAAAACCGGCTCACGTTTGATCTGCGCGCCGCGGCCACCCCTTTAGGCGTTACCGAAACGAGCAACAAACGCAATATGCGCCTTTTTATTTACATTCGCTCGTAATAAATTATTTTCAAAGTCGCGTGTGCGTGTGCCGCGCTTAAGCCATCTTAAGCTACGAAAAGCTCTCATACATTCAACAAACTAAAATCGTTTTAAACTGATACTCAGTTTGTGAGAAAAATAAAACAAAATTCATTCGCAGTGGGAAATTTTTTCCAACGCCGGAATTTTTTCCGCCACATTTTCGAGATATTTAACAAGATGGAATTCGCCGCGGTAAAAAGCTGCGCGCCCGCAAAAAGCACGGAATAAAATCGTATAACAAATCGTCCAGCGCTGGAATGCATTATTTATCGGCCATGCTATACGTAAATAATTTAATATAATATTGTAAATGTGGTAGGATTGCTGACTAGGCGTGGAAATCAAATTGTCATGCGTATTCACGGTTGCTGCAAGTATGACTAATCAATTACCGGCTAAATGTAACATAACTACTTTCAAAAATGATTAATTACACGTATCACTTACTTAGCTGAGTGATAGATAATTTTTATAGACATGAATTAATGATTTTCAAAAATTGCAAGAAAAAAATCAAACTCACTGTTTTATAGATTAATTTAGAGCGTTTTTTTTACCGTTAAACACTACAAATTAATGCGTATTTAATCAAATAGAAAAAATTACTAATTAGATATGTGTCAAACGTAATGCCGGTTGATTTGTGAGCGCCACATGTCGAAGCAAAGCGAAACACGCATGAAATCCAACCAACGACAGAACGCAGTGAAACGAAGCGAAAACTCTAGGGTCGAACACACCACGCAACAACTCGAAATCATCTCTCAGGGA